CCACCCCCTTGTCGTGGAAATAACAAATGTGAAAAAAACTAACGGTATAACTATTCTAATGCAGTTAGAGAAAACTTATGAGAACAATGATAATAATAATCATGAAAACGATAATGATAATGATTGATTTAGCATAGGATTCTAATAGATTCGTGATGTGATGCTTATATGAATGCACCATTCTCTAAAATTTATGAAGTCGATTATCACCCCATTTCACATTAAAATAAAATGTTTTCAAGTCCTCAGTCACGGAATATATAATTAGATTGTATCATATATATGTTATATCGTATATTTGTAAAATTAACAATAATAGATCTAATTTAGACGATATGTTTTCGAACGAATGAACGAATTAATATACATTTGCTACTAAATAATATGTGATATAGTATAATTCAGGAGTGTCAAACAAGCGGCCCGTGACACATTTGTTATTTCAGTCTTACGGTCGGTCGTTTTACATGATCAGACTTACACTTTTTCTATTGTGTTTTTGTAATTCTGTAATGAATGAATAATTAGCCTCTGAAATTATGATCACCATGAAGGAAAATAACACCATATACAATATTCTTAGCATTAACATCGCTATCTAAAATCTGGTAAGTAATATAAACTTTAGGTACATGTACAAATGATCAGTTTAAGCAACGTAATTCTAGGAAACAAAGTATGAACCTTTGTTGGGCCGCTAAAGGGAAGTTGGTCCGCGAAGGGTGTTGAGTTTGGCATCCTAGGTGTAGAGAAATGATTTTTAAAAGTTGTGGTGTGCAGCGCTACTGATGACGGTGCTAGTGATAGAATAGTAATAAGTGACATAATTGTGTTGATATTTCCATTACCATTATGGCTATTATTTTTTATTATTATCATTATTACTATGACCATCATTAGTACTATGATTATCTGTTTTAAAATATATTTATTATGATTATAGTTTTTGTAATTATTACCTTTTATCATTATCAATATTATCATTATTATTGTTCTTGTTATCATTATTATCATTATTGTTATCATTATCATTATTACAATTATAGTCATAATGATTATTACTAGAATCAATATTATCCTTAACAGCATTATGAGCATTTGTTATCACCATCATCATATTCACTATCATCGCCGTCGTTATCATAAACACCATCATTATTTATTTGTTATATATCATACACCTTAATCAAAGTACTGCCATTTTTCCTTTGGGTTGCAATGATGAATAAAACCAAGTAATAGATAAAATTTCAGCTCTTTTTTTCTGGAAGAAATTATTGTGGGGGGGGGGAAGAGGAGGGGGAAAAAAAAGTTTGTTTGTTTTTTTGTGGGGGGAGTGTGTGTGTTTGTGTGTGTGTGTGTGTGTGTGTGTGTGTTTGAGTGTGTGCGTGTATGGTTGTTTCTGCATGTGTGCTTATATGGTTCTTGTATGTGTGTGTGCGTGTATGTTTATGTATGCGCGTGCTTGTATGGTTGTTTCTGTATGTGTGTGTGCGTGTATGTTTATGTGTAAGTGTATATGCGTGTATGTTTATGTGTAAGTGTATATGCGTGTATGTTTATGTGTAAGTGTATATGCGTGTATGTTTATGTGTAAGTGCAAATACGTGTATGTTTATGTGTAAGTGTATATGCGTGCATGTTTATGTGTGCGCGCGTGTATATGTATTTGCTTCCACAATCCCTCTTCTTCGCGTGTTTCTGGCGTCGTTTTAATCACATACCTTCTTTAAATAATGACCGCCTTGCCACTTTGACATTTGGCACCCATACCTACTACCCATGTCCGCCGTTACTGTCCCCATACTTCAACCTAGACTAACCTAAACTTCCCTTAACCTAACCTCGCTTCATGTAACTTATCCTAATCTACCTTAACCTAACTATAGTACCTAGCCTAACCCGACTACCTAAACTTCCCTTAACCTAACTTCGCTTCATGTAACTTATCCTAATCTACCTTAACCTAACCAGATATGGATAGTAAGCTAGCCTGATCTAACTTCAACCTAGACTAACCTAAACTTCCCTTAACCTAACCTCGCTTCATGTAACTTATCCTAATCTACCTTAACCTAACCAGATATGGATAGTAACCTAGCCTGATCTAACTTCAACCTAGGCTAACCAAAATTGTCCTTAAACTAACCTAGCTTCGTCTAACTTACCCTAACCAACCTTAACCTAACCGGATATGGATATTAAACTACCCTGATCTAACTTCAACCCAGACTAACCTAACCTGCCCTTAACTTAACCTACCTTAACCTAACCGGATATGGATAGTAACCTAGCCTGATTTAACTTCAGCCTAGACTAACCTAAACTTCCCTTAACCTAACCTAGCTTCATCACCTTAACCTAATCTACCTTACAATTTTCCTTTAAAAGGGGTAGTTACGTGAGCATTGCGCATGTGCCACATCTAGACAGGAAGTAGACAGGGGTATAGGGATTTCTTCAGACAAATACACACGTTAATTCTGAGAGAAAATGATATATTGTGGACTAAGATGGGCTTTTATCCTTACGTATGTGACACGATCAACAAGTTTATGGTACATTTCCCTAATATTACTAAATTTATGCGGAAAATTGTGTACGAATTCGTCACAAGTAAAAGATTAAAACTCTAGTATAGCAATTGAAAATTTTATATTCATCTCTCTCTCTCTCTCTCTCTCTCTCTCTCTCTCTCTCTCTCTATATATATATATATATATATATATATATATATATATATATATATATATATATATATATATATATATATATATATATATATATATATATATATATATATATATATATATATTATATATATATATATATATATATATATATATATATATATATATATATATATATCGTGTGTGTGTATATGTATGTATGTGTATATATACATATATGCGTGTGTGTGCATGTATATATGTATATATATCTATCTATATATATATAGATAGATACATATATATATATATAGATAGATAGATAGATAGATAGATAGGTAGATATAGATATATATGTTTATATACATATTTGTGTGTGTAGGTATTAGCTTAACACAGGACGTCTTAGACAATGCATATCATCAATCAAATTTGCACTAACAACATAAATCAAAACAATAAATTCATGAAATCTATGGACCTCGCAACGAAAGAAGAAATCCAACGCCCCATCTGGCAGTTTCAATCTTATTCAAGGTCGTGGCAAGGGTGTCGGGCAGGAAACAAGCGACAGCTCATGAGCGTCAGCTGATACTCCAGGTCACAACTCATTTATACATATTTTTTTTACATACATATATATTTATATATACATATGTATATGTGCGCGAGCGCGCCGCCGTGTGTGTGTGTGATGCATATATATAATACACACACACACACACACACACACACACACACGCGCGCACATATATATACATATATATATATATATATGAATGTATATACATATGAATATATATATGCAAATATATACGTATGTATATATGTTATGTATATGTATATACATACATATACATATGTATACCTATGCCAATATGTATACATTATATATATATATATATATATATATATATATATATATATATTATATATATATATACACACACATATGTCTATATATTGTATATACATTATATATATATATATATATATATATATATATATATATACATATATATATATGTATATATATATATATATATATATATATATATATATATATATATATATATATGCTTTCGTTCATTGGTGCAAGCATTTTTGTTTCAGAATCCTGTTTTCTAGATTTGCCCTTACAATATTTCGTTTCCGTAGGACCTGAAAATACAACAAACGTTTCCTTTTTTCATGTAGTCTTCTTATCAGATTTCAGCGTCTTATAAATACGAAACAATAATGAGTGAATAGGCCTATATGTATAATACTCGTTCCCAATTCGTAAATAGTGAATAGGCCTATCAACTCGGTCTTAACAATTACTTAAAAGACATTCAGTTGTTTAACTCCCTTTCTAAATCCTGTGAAATAATAAGTAACAGGTCACCAAGAGGCTAAGGAACGTTTCTATAAATAGTGGCCTGGTCCATGGTGACTCCTCAGGTCAACTACGATCAGCTGACACTCCCAGGTCATACGCTTCCGTGGGGAAGGAAGGAAGCGATGAAGACGAGGAGAGGAGAGGTAGATGAGAGAATGAGACAGAAGGAAGAGATGGGAAGAAGATAGAAGAAGAAAGAAGCAAAATGTGAATGCTAGAGAAAGATAGGAAGAAGACAAAAGGAATATATAAAGGCAAAGGGAAACTAGGAAGAAAAGAAGAAGAAAAAATGAAAGCAAGGCAAAGATAGGAAGAAGGAAAGAGGAAGACGAGGGAAATTCTTAAAGGGAGAAAGAAAGACGGAAAACGGGCAAACAGGAAGAAGCCAAACCTCAAAAAAGGTGAAGTAAAGGGAGAAGTCAAGAAGCAAAACGGGATAAAGATAAAAAGAAGACAGAATGGAGATTGAAGACAAGACGAAAACAATATAATCGTAAGAGAAAGGCAGTATGAAGAGCAAGAAGAAAACGAGTTCGAAAAAGAAGACAACAAGAAGCCATTATTTTTAAAAAAGTAGATAACCATGCGAACAGAGCGGAAAAGAAAATACGAAAGGACAAGACAAATGAAACAGGAATACCAGAAACGAAAAGACAAATGGACGAAAATATGAACAGAAAAATGGACAATAGAAAAGAGAAAAAAAAGACAATACGAGAGCACGAAAAGAAAAGACATGACGACAAAGAAAATAGGAAGGCAGGAAGAAGACAAAAGAAGAGGAGAGACAGGCAGGCCGACAGAGAAAGAGACAGAGACAGAGAAGAAAGAGAGAAGACAGACAGACAGAGAGAGAGAGAGAGAGAAAGAGAGACAGACAGACAGATAGAAAGAGAGAGAGAGCACGCGGAGAAAGGGGCGGAGCTTAGCGTGCGCCCGCGCCTCTCCCCTTCTCGTGGGCACAGAGCCGGTGTGGGAGCCGCCAGTACTATTTTCGTGCCAGATTGAAAGCATCTTCTACTCTCAACTCTATCCTTCTAGAAAAAACACGCAAGAGAGAATTTCGGTGAAGTAAAACGTGCTCGGAAAGTGACGGAGAAGTTAGTATTGAAGTGCGACGAAGGGGGAGGAAGTGAGTGCAGGTTAAACGTGTTTTTTTCCAGGTATTGTTATAGTTCTGTTATGGTTAATTTTTTTCTTGTTTCATTGTTGTTGTTTGTGAATACTGTTGCGTTTTTTTGTTTGTTTGTTTGTTTGTTTTTTGGGGGGTACTTTAGGGATTATAAGATATAATGCTCTTTGGTTTACAAAATAAGGTTGTTTTGTGTATATATTTTTATTTCACCAGGGAGGAAGGATAATTTGGCATTTGAGTGGATCAGTTGATGAGGTTAAATATGTGTGTGACAGAGAGAGAGAGAGTAATATTTGTGGTGTGTGTGTGTGTGTGTGTGTGTGTGTGTGTGTGTGTGTGTGTGTGTGTGTGTCAGTGAGTGCCTTTGTGTGTGTATGTATATAAGTGTGCGTGTACGTGTGCATGTGTGCGAGAGAGAGAGAGAGAGAGAGGGGGGTGCATCATTGTTTATGTACAAGAGACTGACATATTGATTTCAAAATACAGAAACTCACATAAAACGGATATATACCACTAGATATCAGTTAATACCCATATGCACAAATTTATAAATCATTTTAAATTTTAGGCATGTTACCCACAAGCGATAGGATATAACGTACACACTCGCGCTTATAGGTCAAATAAGTTTTGAATTATTTTGACAGGTCTTTTTTATCTTCATTATTATTTTTTAAACCCTGTTAGACCATTTCTTTAACACTAGGGTTGTATGGTGTCTTTTCTAATAATAAACAGACACAAACGTAGTAATGTGTGTACAATAATATAACCTATATAAGAAAATTGAATTATGATAGTGTGTATGTGTGTGTGTGTGTGTGTGTGTTTTAAGACTTAAATTTTTTTGTTTATGATCTTATATACTTCTCAAAATTAACTTTGACTTAGATATTAGTTTTCTTGTTTTTTATAACTATACTTTTTTGCGTAACCTTTCCGAAAATTAAGCGAAGTTAGATATGCAAAATAATGCATGGTAAGATAATGAGTTGCCAAAGGGTTAAGAATAAAGTAAATACGTTAAGTATAATCTGAATAAAGTATTTTTTTTTCTGCGATTTGGTCCCAAAATGTAAGTGCTGAAAATATAGACAGATGGATAAGTAATAAATGAACAAAAGCTACATTTTCAATTTGTTGATAAAAATGTTAATTTCTTAATTGAAAATGACATTGCGTAGCTTGATGTTTCAGACAATTAGTGCAGGAAAACCTTGATAATAGTTTGTAGGTGTGTCTCTATATGATACTAACAATGGTATAAAAGTACATGGAGAGAGAGAGGAAAAAATAGGTCGACCATTCCTACCACCATGATATAAATTCGAATTGACAGAGCATAGTTTGTAGGGTCGTATATATATATATTTTTTTTTTTTTTCGGATAAACTAAATTTCACTTGCATGTTTATTCGGCTGAGTTAGGAAAGACTTTACTTGGCTAAAGGTGGAACTTCTCACGTGGTTGTTTTCAGTAGCCAGTATTACTATGCAAATTTTCAATCTTATTTAATTATACAATAACTAAACGATTCAGCAGACATTTAGGAGTGTTTACTTAATCATAGAAGTTCTTTAAAACGTATTGTAAACGCACTTCACAGTGTCAATTAGAAATGAAACCGGTGTGATCTACTGTCCGGAAGCCGCCATGTTTGTTTACAAAAGTGACGTTGCGGGCAAGCTGTTTTCTCGGAGGCGGTTTGGCAAGCTGCCGATGCTGCTTGAAGGGGTTACTTTCAGATTGCGAAATCGTAGGAAGCGTCTATGGCTATGTAATAGTTCAACATGTGCAGGCGGTCATTTGAAGATATTTCGTTGCCATGCATTGCCCATCTATCCCTCTTTCCAAGTATGTACGCGCGTGTGTGTATGTGTTTGTGGGTATGTGCGCACCCGTGCAGGTGTACGTATGTATGTAATAGTTATCATATAAATCATTTAGCATTTGACGCCATGGACTAAACTCTTCCCTTTCAAAACAAACCGAAAAGTGCTAAACACTACAGCCGCCTACATTTCTAAGAACCATTTGAGTCTGTTCCAATCTCTCTTCACCCAATATACACATTTTCTTCCTTCCTTCCTTCCTGCCTTTCTTTTTTCTTTTTTTTTTTTAATATATACCCTTTTATTTCAGGCACAAGATGGCCGAACAGAAATGCGAAGTGTGCAGAAAACCCGCCAAACAGTTTTGCTCATCATGCAGGGAGGTTTTCTACTGTTCGAGAGACTGCCAGAAACAAGACTGGAAAACACACAAGGCCAAATGCAAGCCCTTTGTCATTAAAACACATCCGGTTTATGGAAGGTTAGTATGAGGGTGTCTATTTATTAGTGTGTTTGAGGTTAGGAGGGAGGCGTTAATTGGGGAATTGGGAATATAGTGTAGGAATTTATAAGAAAGTTTTGAGTAGTTTTATTAATTGGTGGTGTATATTTTTTTAGCTATTCAGTAATGCAGTATTGATATTGATTCAAAATTTAAGTCTTGTTAGATGTTGATATATGGGAGAGAGAGAGAGAGAGAGAGAGAGAGAGAGAGAGAGAGAGAGAGATGTATGTGTGTGTGTGTGTGTGTGTGTGTGTTGTGTGTGTGTGTGTGTGTGTGTGTGTGTGTGTGTGTGTGTGTGTGCGTGCGTGCGTGCGTGCGTGCGTGCGTGTACGTGTAAGTGTACATGTACATGTGTAAATTATATGTACTTTACAATATCCACTTAGAATGCCTTGTGTTCCTCCAGGTACATGGTGGCCAGCAGAGACATCCGCGCAGGTGAGGTGATTCTGAAGGAGCCCCACTTGGTGATCGGTCCGAAACAGCGTTCAGCTCCCGTGTGTTTAGGATGCCACAAGTCGGTCACTGGGTCCTATATTTGCAAGGGCTGTAACTTCCCTGTTTGTGCTCCTTCTTGCGAAATCTCCAAATACCACAAGGTTAGTATTTATTGGGATGTTGGAGACGGAATATACTTTGTGTATACCATATACTGTTCTCGATGAATGGCAAAAAATCTACTGTGTTGATACTATGGTCGGAAAAAATACAACATACATTTATTGAGAAGTGAAGCAGTTTCGAAATCCTTCCGAGCTTCATCTTCGGGTCCAGTTTCGGATAGAAATTGGTCTGGAACATTTCCATTTATATTTATTCCTTTATACAAACTTTAGGACAAGAAAGGTATACTTACAAGCAATGAGGCACATTAGTATCGCATGTTTATGGGAAAAAAATAGGAAAAGAGTGTTATTTCCATACATGAGTACCTCCTTAATTCGTTTTCTATAATACTGAACCCAAGTCTCCAATACTTCATGTCACATATATGCCCTTCTTCGCTTTTTACCAGAGCCATTTTAGATTTTGATTCACAAGGGGAAAAAAAAACTGGCCATTGTAAAAAGTCAAGAAAACATATTTTTGTGTACGGAAATGAGTTAATTTGCGACGGATAATATAATGAAAGTGGAGATGCAAAATAATGATGTACTTGATAAATGTTAGATGAAATATATTAGAATAAAATCAGGATGAAACAATGAAGACCTATAGTAAGAATAATAAAACACTGATAATATGATATAGACCATTAGAATTCCAGATCAATATCTCATAACAATAAGCCACAATGAAAAATAATAATCATACAATAACAACAAACCCTTTTTTTCAGGCCGAGTGTCAAGTGCTGGCGCGCGCAACGGGAAAAATCCGTATAGATAACATGAGCGCCGCCCACCCCGCCTACGAATGCATTCTTCCCCTCCGCTGTATCCTCCTGAAGGAATCCGATCCGAAGAAGTGGGAGGAGATCAGGAATATGCAGGATCACGTGGAGGATATAAAGAACACGGAGTTGCACAACGTCATACAGAGGAACACGGTTGAGTTCTTGAAGTAAGTTGTTTCGGGTTAATAGCTTGGATGGTATTTTGATGTTTAACTGGGGTATCTCGTCTCATATTTGGTATGTAGGGATTCAGCTATTGCAGTCGCATTTTCATGAGTTTTTTTTTTATCTTAGTCTGATATTTTGCTGTATTTATTTATTCCGTAGGCATTTAACAACTTCGGTTACGTTCAGATATTCCGTCTTATAATCTGGATTTTGATATTTAAACTTTGACGTTCAATATGATATTTGATGAAAATGAAATTGTCTTATAATTCTGTGGCTACATTTTTGACGTATTGTGATGGTTTAGTCACTACATTTCAGGGGATGTGTATGGGTATATATAATATTAACATATACTATAACAATTAGTTTTTAGTCATAAGCCATTTTATTGGCATTTTGGAACAATTTGAAATTTGACGTTTAGAAGTAAGGTCAATTTGTTGGCATTTTTTACAGTTTCCTTGTTATTTCACACAGACGTAAAGAGTTTTGGGGCACATAAGTACTTTGATTTTTTTATGTTTAGTTGTTTCCCATTTTAAGCTGATTCGAGTTACATTGTCCTTACACAGTTACGCATTTCTTACGCAATCATCCCTTAGCTTATTTCCTGTGGGAATTCTCTTTATTTTGTCATGCATTTACGGATTGCATTTGGACCCCTCTATTTGCGATGGTATTTTCTTCTCTGGCTGTAATCTGTTTACAAAACTTGAAGATTGTAAAAGGTGACCAAAATGGAAAAAGAAATATACATACAAAGATGAAATAGAACAACATTACTAAAGGGACATATAAATTTCGAAGATGACTGAAGTACGTTTAATCTCAGAAAATAAAACAACTGGCAACTCGATGCGAACTCGGGAGTATTTTGATTCGCAAATTCTCTTTTTTTCATCTGCTGACACTTGATGCATTACGTTTTGTATCTTAAAAATCATATACAATATATTTTACTGTTTATATACAAATTTGCTGCCTTCGTCACCTCTTATATTTCTTTCTCAGTAAATAACAAATCAGCATACTCCAGGGCGAGTTGCCAGTTTTTCATTTTCTCAGATAGGACAGAGTTTTGACTTTTCATCAAACTGGAAAAGTGAAGTAGACAGGGCCGATTTTAAGCTAATTTCACCTTTTTTTTATCATATAAGTAAAACAACAAAATTTTTCATATTGCCTTTAAAGATTTTATTATACGAAGCATTTAATGTTTATTTGTTTTTTATTGTTTTGTATGCATTTACATGAAATATAAACATCCATACATTTTGCCATGTAGAATAGGGGCCCCACCATCAGTGTTCTGATGGTGGGGCCCCGTAGTTCCTAGCACCGGCCCTGAAGTAGAGAACACATGATCACCTGATGAGGAATCTGGTCTTACTAGAAACGTTATGACTTGTGTTTCATATTGCATAGGGCAATTCATAGAGCAAGATCTCTCATATCATTACGTATTTCATATTGCAAGTTTTTCATAATGGAAGGTATTTCATAGAGCAGGTTTCTTTGAAATAATGGGTAGTAAGGCAACCTCGTCATGGAAAAAAAATTTACTGTATAAACCAAGGAATACCATATATTGTTTTTTTAAGAACTAAGATTAAAGTATTGAAAACGTAATCAAATAATTTATTTACGAAGCAAATGTTTCTCATACTACTGACTTTGCTGAGTTTGATAATGAGGGGACCGTGTCCGAATGGCATCGCAGTATTTTAAATGAATACGAACACCGCTTATCATTTTATTGATTATCATCACCATCATTTTTATTTTTATTATAATTATGAATATTGTCGTTTATTTTATTATTGTTGTTGTCGTTATTACCAATTCAGTACAGTTATCATGAGTATCATCATTATCATCATCACATTAGTAGTACTTGCAGTAATAGTAGTAGTAGAGTCAGTATTACTAGTAATAGTAGTGGCAGTAGTGATAGCAGCAGTAGTAGTGCTGGTAGTAATAGTCGCTGAGGTAGTAGCAGTAGCAGCAGCAGTAGTAGTAGTAATAGAAGTAGTAGTAGCTGAAGTAATAGTAGGGTAGTAGTAGTTGTTGTAGTAGTTGTAGTAGTAGTAATAGCAGTAGTAGTAGCAGCAGAAGTAGTAGTGATAGTAGTGGTGTTAGCAAAGTCAGAAGTAGCAGAAGCAGCAGTGATAGAAATATCAGCAGTAACATTAATGACCATATTTACCGAAACGAAACGCTAAACAAAATTATCGAGACCGAAAGTGAGAACAGAAATCGTGACGCAAATGCTCCTCCCTTATAAGGCGAGGGCGCCGCGCGTGTTGTGTCCATCTCTCTGCGTTGGCGTCAGTGAAGAGTGGCTTCCTCACGCCTCTCTCTCTCTCTCTCTCTCTCTCTCTCTCTCTCTCTCTCTCTCTCTCTCTCTCTCTCTCTCTCTCTCTCTCTCTCTCTCTCTCTCTCTCTCTCTCTCTCTCTCTCTCTCTCTCTCTTCTTCTACTTCTCCTTCTTCTCCTCCCCCGCCCTCTCTCTCCTCTCTCTCATCTTCCTCCTCTTCCTCTCCTTCTCCTCCCTCCCTCTCCCTTTTCTTCTTCTCTCCAGCTCTCCTCCTTCCTGCCCTCCCTCTTTCCTCTCCCTCCCCCCTCCTCCCTCCGTCCTCCCTCCCTCTCCCCCCCTCCTTTCTCTATCTCCGGCAGGTCCTTGAGAAGCACGAGAATGGTACGAGGATTTATCATTGGCGTCACTACCGCGTGCCAAGAGAGACATACGATACCAGCCTTTTGAATTGTTGCCGGATTTTTGGATACCACCACTTTTGAGTTGTTGCCGGATTTTTGGATACCACCGCTTTTGAGTTGCCGGATTTTTGGATACCACTGCTTTTGAGTTGCCGGATTTTTGGATAATGATACTGGACAAGTCTATTTAATATAAAAACTGTGCAATTGTTTCCTTGCGATAGAATGTATAGACCGGGTGCTTTGATATATGTCATCTTAAAGCGCCCATGTAGGGTTGGCGAAAGGGTTGATTCTTGTGGGAGGGGAGGGGTTGGGGGTACAAGAGGTAGAAAATTTGCAAGCAAATTTGGAATTCATAAAAGTATTTAAGCAAGCAGACACGCACACACACACTCACGCACACACACACACACACACACACACACACACACACACACACACACACACACACATATATACACATACACAGTTCCTTTATTAGTTTCTCGCGACACTCCAACTGTACCTGATACATCACGATTTGTTTCACTGCTAACGTGACTTGCTATGAACTCGTTGAACTCTCATTATCTGTTATCTAACTCTTTCTGAAGTCTCATTATGTCTTATCTACGTCTTGCTGAACTCATTGTATCTGATACATAGTGATATTTCCTAAGTGTTTCGTGAACATTTGTGGAGTTTTAGTTTTTTTTCTTTTTTTTTTATTGCACAGCCTTCATTTTCCCCAAAAGTAATTTCAAACATTACATAGCTTTCACTTTCCCTTAGCTTTAACATAGCCGTCACTGTCCCTTGATATTTCTCGGCCACTACAGAGCCGTCACTTCCTTTTAACTATTTTTCACCCATTATATTATATCCGTCATCCTCCCCCCCCCCCCCCCCCAACTTTTTAAGCCATCAAATATCCGTTACACTTTCCCATAACCCTTTTTTCAGCCATTGCATAGCCATTTCATAGTACGTTTTTCAACCATTATATACTTGTCACTTCCATTCAGCTTTTGTTTTCGGCCACTTTATAATCCGTCATTTCCCCTATGACCCCCCCCCCCCTTCCATTCTAGGCGATTCCTTAACATCCCCCCTTCCATTCCACTACCTCAAATTCCCTTAACATCCATTCTAGGCACTACCTCAGATTCCTTAATTTAACATCCCCCCTTCCATTCTAGGCACTACCTCAGATTCCCCATTTCCCCCTTCCATTCTAGGCACTACCCAGATTCCCTTAACATTTCCCCCCTTCCATTCACTTCAGATTCCTTAACATCCCCCTTCCATGGCACTACCTCAGATTCAACATCCCCCCTTCCATTCTAGCACTACCTCAGATTCCCTTAATTTAACATCCCCCTTCCATTCTAGGCACTACCTCAGATTCCCTTAACATTTCCCCCTTCCATTCTAGGCACTACCTTAAATTCCCTTAACATCCCCCCTTCCATTCTAGGCACTACCTCAGATTCCCTTAACATCCCCCTTCCATTCTAGGCACTACCTCAGATTCCCTTAACATCCCCCCTTCCATTCTAGGCACTACCTCATTCCCTAACATCCCCTTCCATTCTAGGCACTACCTCAGATTCCCTTAACATTTCCCCCTTCCATTCCACTACCTCAGATTCCCTTAACATCCCCCCTTCCATTCTAGGCACTACCTCAGATTCCCTTAACATTTCCCCCTTCCATTCTAGGCACTACCTCAGATTCCCTTAACATCCCCCCTTCCATTCTAGGCACTACCTCAGATTCCCTTAATTTAACATCCCCCCTTCCATTCTAGGCAGTACCTCAGATTCCCTTAACATCCCCCCTTCCATTCTAGGCACTACCTCAGATTCCCTTAACATTTCCCTCTTCCATTCTAGGCACTACCTCAGATTCCCTTAATTTTCCCCCCTTCCATTCTAGTACCTCAGATTCCCTTAACATCCCCCCTTCCATTCTAGGCACTACCTCAGATTCCCTTAACATCCCCCCTTCCATTCTAGGCACTACCTTAAATTCCCTTAACATCCCCCCTTCCATTCTAGGCACTACCTCAGATTCCCTTAACATTTCCCCCTTCCATTCTAGGCACTACCTCAGATTCCCTTAACATCCCCCTTCCATTCTAGGCACTACCTCCCTTAACATCCCCCCTTCCATAGGGGCACTACCTGGGGCACTACCTTAAATTCCCTTAACATTTCCCCTTCCATTCTAGGCACTACCTCAGATTCCCTTAATTTAACATCCCCCCTTCCATTCTAGGCACTACCTCAAATTCGACGGGGTAGATAGCGAGGAAGTCTACCGCGTGTGTGGCATCCTCATGACCAACAGTTTCGAACTCAAACACCACGGCACGAAAGTACGGGGACTGTATGCCCAGTCGGCTATGATGGCACACGACTGCATACCCAACACCAAGCATACCTTTGAGACCGATTCAACCATGATTCTACGAGCTACCAGGGTTATACCGAAGGGTTCTGCTATTACGAGCACATACACGAATACGTTGTGGAACACGTTGCAGAGAAGGAAGCAGATTAAGGTAGGTTGGGGTTGGTGAAGGAGAAGAAGCTGTTTTGTTTATTTATTGAATTTGTTTACGTAATCTGTGTTGTGTATTTGTTGACTTTGTTTATGTTATGGTGGTGGAGTCACAGTCATGGGAAGAATCAGTTTGTTTGATTATATAGTCTATGTATGTTTTTGTGTTATTTTTGTTATTGTTATTATCTTTCAGTTATTTTTGTTGTTATTGTTTTCATTGTTATTATCATTATTATTGTTATCATCGTTATTATCATTATTAATTATTATCATTATTTTATTTTAGTTATTATGACTATAGTTACTATCTTTATTGTTGCTGTTGCTGTTTTTGATATTTTTATTATTACTATCGCTATCACTGATGATTATTCGAGAGTTCAGAAGCAGGCCAATCCAAATATTAATGTAGGCCTATAAAGGTAATTTACATTATTTTGAATTGCTTGGAATATATTAAAACTGATATTCTTTTAACTCAAGAAAAAGCTGCGTGAGACGAGAAGTAAATAAAACCCCCAAAATAGGAACTGAAAACTTAAACCATAAACACAAGGAGATAAGTTGCCCATTTCTTTTTTTCCTCCCTTTTTACCGCTCGGATAAGATAACCTTTTTTTTCATTTCTTTTCTTAAAATTGTG